GACTCATCGGGTGAGTCTCAGGTGTCTCAGGTGTGTTTGTTGGTCTGTGAAGAGAAATCATGCACCACTCTGACAGTGTGATGTACGACCAACCACAACATCTGAGACCAACACACACACACTGACGTGATTGACAGATGGTTCCTCCAATCAGCTGCCCAGGTGCTTTCAAACAGTTCCAGATGTTCTGAGTCACAAACATCTGGGTTTTTGCCTCGATCATCCTTTTTATGAAGGATGAATTTTACCCAGAATAAAAACTGAAAAGTGCAAATGAAAGGAGGAAAAAAAGTTAATTTAGTTTCACATCATCAGTTTCTCGTTCGGTTCAGATGTTTCTTCTTCCTTTTTAGTCATTTATAATTAAGTTTTTTCCACTTTGTTTTAAGGTTCCTGTTTTTCCTCGACTTTCAGTTGTTTGTTGTTGACCTGTGTTGATATCGTGTGTATGTGTGTGTGTTCTCAGCGACCTGTGCACAGCGTTCGGTAAAGACGTGATGAAGCTGGTCGAGGTTCGTCCGCTCATCAACGACCTGCTGACGGAGGGTCGACGCTCCAAAACCAACAAGACCAAGACGCTGGCCACCTGGGCCACCAAGGAGCTCCGCAAGCTCAAGAGCCAGGCCTGGTCAGACACACACAACACACACACACGCACACGTGTATGCATACACACACATGTATATGCACGTACACACACTAGCAGAGTGATGAGCTGCTGTGGGCGGGGCCAGCAGAAAACACCTGGTTTAGACACTTTTAAAAGACGTCACTGAAACACTAACATCTGTTTAGAATAATCTTCATGTAGAATATTTTCAGCGCTTTATCTTCCTGTGAAAACAGAACTTTCCTTTGACACATTTTCTCAACCGCTGAACTACTGTATTCCTACGCACGAGCACCTACAGAGTGCACTATGGTCAGCTGAGCGAATCAGAAAGAGCTAAACTTCACTTTGTTTTGGCGGGAAAATAAAGATGAAAATATTATACATGAAGCTTCATTTAAACAGATGTTAGTGTTTCAGTGGCCGTTTTTTTTTTTTTTTTTTTTAAAGTGTTCTATAAACAGGTGTTTTCTTCTGGCCCCGCCCACAGCAGCTCATCACTCTGCTAGCGCACCGGTCCTCCTGCTGCTCCTCGAAACTGAATCTACTGCAGGAAACACACCGACTGAACATGACGACCTCACACAACCCCACGTCTGGTCACCTGAACTATCACTTTAATTCTCCAGTAAAGCAGCAGCTGGTCACATGACACACCTGGACTCTGTACCTAAGCAGTGTGTTTATTGGTCTAATGTGTGATGTATGACCTCGACCTCCGAGAGCAGCACTCAGGGTCTGAGTCTCATCGCTGCCTCTTCTACTTTTTCAGATTGTTGCTGGTCGGGGAAAAGAGAGAGAGCTGAGAGATCGACATCAGTGAACAATGAGGACAAATTGCCCCACTGGAATTAACTCTTCTGTCTTTGTCTCGAGCGTCCGGTCGAAGCAGAAGTCGAGTGAGATGAGTGTGTGTGAGAGAGAGAGAGACGTGTGAGCGAATGAGCGAGCGAGCGAGAGATGATGACATCACACCACCCTCAGATCCAGCAGGCGACGACTACCCCCTCCTCTCCCCTCCTCCTCCTTCTGGATGGCCTGTGGACTGGACTCTGACTCCCCCCCTCCCCCCTTTCAAATAAAAACAAACTCACCTTCGAGCCCACCCCCCTCCTCCTCCCACAATCCACCTCTCTCGCTGTAGCTGGGCTCTCCTGCGACATCACGATGACGTCACCGACCTGCCGCCGCCCCCCCCCAATTGCGGGGGGAGGGGAGGAGGAGGGGAAATGGATAAAAACACGACGAGAAAATAAAAGACTTGAGTGGAATCAGATCCGAGACTTTGTGGACTTCTGTGGAAAACTTCAGATTTTTGTTGCTCTTATTTTTTCTTCTTCTTCTTCCGAGCACTAAAAACAGCAACGGAGCTCTGACGGACGCAAACACCTCCACCTGCTCAGTCTGCAGCGTACCACGCTCCAAACAACAACAGCACTAAATTCCTTCAAAATAAAAGTCCAAACCCATCGGGGAATCCTCAGAGGAGCGAGTGCCAAATGGAAAATAAAGCGACCTCTGACCCGAGCGGTGTGAGCTGCTGGTGAAGCGTTTCACTTTTGATTTCCCGCTGCACTTGGTTTGGGGACGGGTCACTCACCGTTTTTGCTTGTTTAAAAAAAGATTCAGAGAATTGAAGACGTTTGTATAAGGTTATATTTTTCCATTGCTATGATGAACATAAAGCTGAAAAAAAAACAATAAAATGATATGAAACATTCCCCAAGCAGTTCTGGTGATTTCGGTCTTTCCTGTCGTCTGTTGGACTCCTGGACTGATCAAACGTTCTGGACTTTGCTGATTGGAAGCTGAACTTTGGCTCTTGAGTTCGGTGGCCGCCTCCCACTGTTGGTTTGTTTACTCGACGCCACAAAGAACCATGATTTTTTTTTGTTGTTGTTTGTTTTTTAACTCACTTCATGGCTTGTTTGGTAGCAGCAGCTCGGCCGTCGCTCCTCGCAGACGGGGGTTTTTTTTTTTTTTTTGGGACGTTGAGTTTGTAGTTGGTCTGAAAATCACGTCTGACATGAAGTTTAGACGCTGCAGAAACCTGCGAGCACGCTCAGTGCCACCCGCCCGCCTCCACCACTCCACATCTGGATCGCTTCACTTTCAGTAACGATAATCAAACATGAAACCAGAGGAAAAAAAACTGGAGTTTAAATTTAACTTTGAGTTGACAGTGAAGTGTGTCCAGCCACGGAGGGCTTTTATTTTGTGGAGGTGTGGCAGCTGTGAGAGGAACATACTTCCGGTGTTGACATGATGAACCTGGCAACTCGATTATTACTGAATTGTGAATCATTTAAAGCCGATCTGCTTTTTATTTCATATTCAACTTTAGTGAACTAATAAAGTCTATATTGTACTGAATGATCTGCTGCTGCTTCTTTTGGGGGGGGGGGGCTGTTTGAATCAGATGGTTTATTTTTCTGATGTGAAGGACAATTGTCGGACAGATTCACTAGTTTCAATATTTATAATCTCTAATAAAATCTATAAAGCACTTAGTTTCCCAGGTGTGTAGCCACACCTCCTCAGATGTTTGTCCTCCACACACTCCACTTGTACCCTTAATTCCCATAATTCCTTTTGCTGTTACAGGCACCTGGATCAAGTGGGTCCGGAGCTTTAATCCCCTTCAGAATAAAGCAACATCCTGTCTGCTCTGCTCACTTCCTCTTCACATGTAGACAAAACTTTACTTACACCATGTAAACCTCATTAACCTATTAACCTCAACACCTGACTACCAGGTGGCCCTAAAGCCTCAAGTTCATCTTTCTCCACTGGTTTTGGAAATTGAATTAAGTTTTAGTAATAAAATACAATTTAGACCATAATTACAATAAAATTAAGTGACTAATGACTAAACTATATTTAATTAAAAGTCAGGCTGAAGATGAAGATTAAGTTGACTGTAAATTCTAATATATGTTTGTACATGAAATATTACCGTTATGACACATTTGTTTAATTTTATGTTTGTTAAACACAATCAGAAACCTGGTACAATTATATCATATAACATATTTTCTGTGAACAGGATGTAGAATTGAATGCTCAAATCAGAGGGTCATGTGACACAGGTAGTTTTCTTGGGAGTATTTTCAGTGTGGTACTTCCGGTTTGTGTTATCTCACGTCTTGACGTTTTTTGTTTTGTGTGGGTTTTCTTTTTTTTTACTTTATTTATTTATACTTGGCAACAGTCAAAAAGGCACAAAACATATTAAGGATAAATGCAGAAAACAATAGGAACAACTGAGGAGAAGATGTAAGGATAGAAAGAAAGATCAGAGGAAAGAAAATTAAAGAAAAACAAAAATGAATAAACAATTATACATATAAAATAAACATAAAGGGACAAAACGGTCAGTCAGGTATTAAAGTGCATAAATATTCATACAGATTAGTATTGCAGCATTTCACATATTTTTTATTTTATATTATTTTATTTATATCATCAAATATAGGTGTGGTTTTTAAGAACCGGCATTCATGTATGAAGTGTTTTGCTAAAAGCGTTAAATTATTTTTCCCAAACTCCATTTGGAGATTATTATATATTTTTATATGTTAGTCAGAATAGTGTGATTATTACATGTTATCTAAAACTGCTTCCCACACTGTCCTGGTTTAATACAATAAACTGAATAAAGTGTCGAAAGGTATCTGAACTCTGACCAACAGCAGCCGGTCTCTCACCTGGTCCAGGATCAGCTGGTCTCAGGTAGAGCTAGCAGCAGCTGTGATGGCCGAGTGGTTAAGGCGTTGGACTTGAAATCCAATGGGGTCTCCCCGCGCAGGTTCGAACCCTGCTCGCAGCGACGGATCTGATTTTGGAGACACATGAACCTTGGCGGGAAAATCGTGATATCTGTAGACTTAAAATATCAAATAAAATAAATCTAATATTCAACACCTGTGGTCGTGTGACCAGGGCCTGTACTGCGCTCACGTGATGACACCTGACAGTTCCAGTCCCTGAAGAAGACCAGGGAAACAGTGGAAAGCTCAGTGAGTGGATGTTGGGCCAGGACAGGTGAGCTCACCTGGTCCGTCACAGAACTGATCAGATTCAGTTAATCAACAATATGTGAAGAAGACACCTGAACTGATCATCTTTTATTATCTACAGTTTGACCGAACAATCAATTAATCGATCATGTTAGTAACTGAGTCAGAGCCTCAGATGTTTGTGACAGAGAGAGAGAGGTGGTAGAGAGACCTCCGGCTGTGACGGAGGCTCTCCGGTACCGGGAAGTGTGCCGCTGTGTGGAGGTTTCGGTTTCGGTCCATCGTTCACGCTGCGCACGAGCCTCCATTTATCAATCAGCACCGATCGATTATTGATGCCAACGCTGCGCAGCCGCCCCGCGCCCCCCCACCCCCCACCCACACCACCTCTTCACCACATCCGTGTTGTCTGACCGGAGGATGAGTCGGTAGGAGGCTAACAGCTAGCTAACGTTACCGAGCGGCGGCACCGGGCGGGCTTCTCATGTCTGTTCATGTTCTGTCTTCGTGCAGCGGAGCCGTTACCGTCACGAACCGGTCCGGACGTTACATGGCCGTCGGTCGGTGTTCCGTCGAGCTGCCCGGTTAGCTCGGCGGGAGGATGCAGCCGCTAGCCGCCGTTAGCTCCGCAGCCGTTTATTTATCTCGGTGTTATGTAAGCGCGGAGCCCGTGTAGCCGCGCAGCTAACGTTAGCCTGTCAGCATGAACGACGCGCAGCAAGAAATGTCTCCAGACTTCGTCCTGATGCGGCTCGTGTCCGCGGCCGAGTACGACCGACTGGACGAGCCCGACGACCTGATGTCCGGAGGCGGCGGGTTTGGGCCCGTTAAAGCCGTGCTGGGACACCACGGCGGCGGCGGGTTTGATCTGGACACCAGCGGCCCCTCGGCAGGCCTCGGCTCGGCCTCCCCGCACTACAGCTCGCCGCTCCCCGGAAAAGGCGAGCTGGACGGCGGGCTGGTGTTGACGCAGGCTCCGCCGGGCTCCGAGGCGCCGCTGTCCCCTCCGCCGCCCGAGGACTTTGCCGTAGCGGCCCAGCGCTTCGTGGACTTCCCGGTGCCGCACGGGCACGGCTCGGGGGGGCACGGGTCGAGGGCGCAGCTGATGGTGTTTCAGAATCTGCTGCGGTCCGGAGACCGGATCCTGGAGTGCGGGCTGGAGCAGCCGCCCCCGGGGTTCCTCCAGGAGGAAGCAGAGAGACAGAGACAGCAGCTGGATCCCGGATCAGGTACGGGTCCCGGCAGCACAACAACTGGTCCTGGGCCTGGAGGCGGGAAGGACCAGAACTCACACTGCATCCCATCTGCAGAGGAAAACCTGCAACCACAGCAGCCGCAGCTGCTTCAGTGGCACCCGGTCCTCAGACTGTCCAAAGGGACCGATGGGTCCCATACTCCCCAGCAGGGTGTCCCGGCTCTGGACTCTGAGTCCGGGTCAGTCCTGTGCCACCGACACCGCCTGCTGACAGACCGACTAGCTAAGTGGCCCCCGGGTCTGCTGGACCAAGCCCTGCGTCTCGGCCTGCTGGAGCCCAGGAAGAACTGCTCCGCTGGGGGAGAGGACCCGGTCTTGGCCCTGGCCCGGAGGCTAGGTCAGCTGGGTGAGGGGAGGGAGGGTGGTGGAGGAGGAGGTGGGCGAGAGGAGATGGTGCTCCCCCTCCCTCGGTGCTCCTGTCACAGCGTCCTGGCCTCGGGGTCGGGGGGCATAGGTCCCGGCGAGGACCCGAGTGAGACCAGTGACGCTCTGCTGGTCCTAGAAGGTCTGGGGTCTGAAGAGGTGGGGGGGTTGGGTGAGGATGGGGACAGGGATGGAGGGGACATGGGGGACGCTGAGAAGGGAGAGAGGATGGGGGGTGTTGGCAGTGGGGGGACATCTGGGGGAGCTAGGCAGGTGTTCTCCAGCGGGACTCTGAGCGGTCTGATGAGGCAGGTCCACAGACTGGCGGAGGAGGCGGGGGTCTGCACGGACCAGAGCTGCCGGTCCTCGTTGGCTGTCCTGGGTGCTGCAGTGTCCCTACCTCCATGTGTGGACTCCCGCCCCCCCATCAGCAGCACCACTACCCCCTGTCCGTACCTCCCTGTTCGCCCGCAGGCCCCCCAGGCTGCAGCAGCCCTCAGTGGTCTCCAAGTCTCCCCTGACCCCCTCCCCGACCCGAGCCACCGGCCGCAGCACCAGCACCAGTCTCGCTCCCAGCCCCAGAGCCGCGCCACCACCCCCAAACTCGGTGTGGCCTCGGGGGGAGCGGGGCGGTCTGCCTCCCCCCTAGTGGTCCTGGAGGGGGAGGTGGGAGGAGGAGGAGGGAGGGAGGGAGAGAAGACGCCGCGGGGAAAGTCAAGGAAAGGGGGGTCACTGAAGGTCCGGCTCAGCAAGCTGTTCAGAACCAAGAGCTCCAGTGGGGGGTCGGGGGGACTGCTGGACAAGAGGCCGTCCCTGGCCTCGTCCACCTCGTCCGGGGGGAGTCTGCTGGACGTGTGGGGGTCCACCTGCAGCACGGAGCAGGACAGCAGCAGGTAAGAGGACGGGGGGGGGGGGGCCCACCCC